AAAGCCTAAGAGGTTCCCTGTTGGTGATATAAATAAGTAACATCAATTAAGAAGAAAATGTGTCAAAAATAATCATGATATCTTTAAATAGATTTTCTGCTCAGATTATAAATACAATGCTCTTGAAATTTGAATATTAACAGTTCCCACAATATTTCAAAAGCACTCATTTAGATCATACAGTATATAATTTAGAAATGTAGTAACTTTGAGTATTACACATTACATACTAAAAATGGTCTTCAAAACACAATTCCAAGATCTCATATTAATGTTAGTCCTGTTGATGTGAATTGAAAATATAAAAGAATGCATGATAAGCTTTACTTATACTGTATATACACTTTCTGCTCCTACTTGCTATCAGTAGGAATTTAGCATAAACTTTCAAATGCCTAAGCTCTGTTAGGTAATATATGAGGCTGGTTTCCTGACCATCCTCTTTTATGAATATGTACTTTATAATGGATAGTTATGAGACTTTTATCCATGTCAACTTTACCTTTAGTATACATCATTCCAAAGGACAAATTACAATTTAGATCATTAGATCACAAATCAAGAACTATGAAATATTAACAGCAAAACTTTGTACAAAGAATATTTATATAATAAGCATTGTTTGAAACACTGAAATATAAGGTGACTTACCCAAGAATTCACTGTTATAACCAAACTGAAAAACTACTGTTGCCTAGAGATAATGTCTCCATTAAGGGATTTGAAATTGCTTATGTGATTCCTCAAAAAAAAATGTATTGTAGTGAGGTGAGAAGGGAGAGTTTCTTTGCACGTCTTCTTACAAGAAAACAACTACCTGCCAATTGATGTGTAAAGGTGAGCAAAAAAATTAATGTCTGTAGGTCTATGTTTTTGTTTCTAGTTGGACTGGATATAATCCAAGTTACTTCCAGCTTTCAAAGTTTACTTATGAAATCAGAGTATTAAAACAAACAAAAATTTGAGAATCTACTATGTGCAAAGAAAGAAAAACAAAAATGGTTAAAAATTTAAACAAAATTGTTAGTGTCAGGACTAGGACTTTTCTTTCATATTCTGTTTATTTTCTAAACTTTTAATAATGTTGTATTATATTTTTTAATCTAAAATCTATTTAATAAAAATTGAGTTTCTATATAAGACAGAAAAGGAACAAATGAGATACACCAAAACATCACTAATAATTACTTTTAAAATAGAATGAATCAATCAACATAGAGGTTTCATAATTTTCTATAGGTAAGACATCCACTGTGTACACTACAAATTACTATATAGTTATAAGTTACAACAGAAATCACATGCTAAATTGCAAGGAATAAACATTATTAATAATACATTTTTTAAATGTCTTTTCAAAGGCAAATGAAAAAATAAGTAAAATTAAAAAACATGAATGAGTAACATATACTTTATTGTCAAAATAAAGACTTGTTTCATGCATAATCTTCTGAAATCATTCAGTTTACTTTAATATTTACAAAAACAAATATTACTAGCATAAAAACTAACCTTACATAAGGTACAGGATCATTCTGAATCATATTAAGTAGCCATTGCAGTTCTTCATAACTCCTGTCCACTGAAAATAAAAATAAGGAAACATATTTGTTGTTCATTATAACAAATTAAATAACAAGTAACAAACTGAGTTTACACTTAACATTTAGGACTCAGTCTCCCTAGATTTTCATCACAGTAGAAGGCTAGGTAACTGCTTATATGTTTTTATTCAATAGACCAGCTCATAAATTTTATAAGTACTATGCTATATATATTTAGAAAGCTAAAACATAAAACAGGATCAAACACATATTTTTCCCTAAACCTCAACTCAATGGCAAATATAACATAAGGCAAATGATAATTTATTCAAAAAGCCCTAAATTAGAGATGATTAACTCCAAATGGAAAAAAAATGTATTTAAATAAAATTGTGGTTCTAGGTGCTTAAACTGAATTACTGAGATATTTGCTACCTAATGGTATCTCAACCATGTTAGACAGTATAGAAAATTGTTTTTGCCAACTGGTTTCTTTCATTTAAGACTAAAAAGCAGCCTTACCTTTTCAACATAACACAAAAGCAATTTTAAAAAGTATGATAAATATAACTGATTTTAACAAAATGACTCGTTAGCTATTTCCATTCACCTTTCAACAAGTTTTGCTTTTATGATAAAGAAAGATTTTAATATTTCCAATATTTTCCATTTTTTCATTTTCTAATTAGCTGGGTTCACGGATTACACTTAAACACATCTCAATTACATTATTATTATTCTTTTGAAAATCGCATTAGCATTCTATTTCATTTCACATAGTACTAATTTATGAAATCTTATTTATGTGACAGTGAACATTGTTCATATACCTTGGAAAGAATATCCCTCCCCCATGACAATCACAAGCAACTTCTAATTGGCTCTGAGTCTACTGCTGTTTTGCTCCCTGTTTTGCTTTGTTTTTAAATTCCACAAATTTAGTGAAATTGTATATTTGTCTTTCTCCACCTCGCTTATTTCATGAGAATAATACCCTCCAGATCCATCCATGTTGCAAATAGAAGGATTTGTTTTTATTAAGGCTGAATAGTATTTCATTGTGTATATGTACCACATCTTATTTATTCATTCATGTATTGATAGATACTTCGGTTGCTTCCTTATCTTGGCTACTGTAAATAATGCAGCAATGAAAACAGGTGCATGTATCAGGGATTTTGAATCAGGGATTTTGTTTTCTTGGGGTAAATTCCTAGAAGTGGAATTACTGGGTTCAAAGGTACTTTTATTTTTAGATTTTTTTGTGGAACCAACCTAATACTGCTTTCCACAGTAGCTGCAGCAATTAACATTCCCACATACAGTGAAGCAAGTTTCCTGTTTCTCCAGAACTTCACCAACACTTGCCATTTCTTGTCTTTCTGACAGTGGCCATTCTAACTGGTGTGAGGTGGTATTTCACTGTGGCTTTAATTTGCATTTCCCTAATGATTCACAATCTGATTGGCCATTTGTATTTTTTCTTTAGAGAAATGTCTGCTCAGATCTTCCACACATTTTTTAATCGAGTTGTTTTATTTGTTTTTTGGGTGTTGAGGCAAGTGAGCTCTTTATATATTTGTGGTGTTAACCCATTATCAGATAAATCATTTACCAATATATTCTCCCATACTGAAGGTTGCCTTTTTATTCTGCTGATGGTGGCCTTTACTGTACAAAAGCTTTTTAGTTTGACGTAGTCCAACTTCTTCATTGTTTATTTTGTTTCCCTTGCCCAAGGAATGTGTCCAGGAAAAAACTGCTTATACTTATGTTCAAGAGATTTTTGCCTGTGTTTTCTTCTAAGTGTGCTATGGCTTCATCTCATACATCCAGGTCTTTGATCCATTGCAAGTTTACTTTTGAGTATGTAGATAGGCAGTAAATCAGTATTATTCCCTTGCATGTAGCTGTCCAGTTTTCCCAACACTTAAGGAAGAGGCTGTCTTTTCCCAATTATATATTCATGGTTCCTTTACTGTATACTGATTGACAATATATGCATGGGTTTATATCTGGGCTCTCTACTCTACTGCATTGATGTCTGGGTCTGTTCTTGTACCAGTACTACATTGTTCTGATTATTGTAGCTTTGTAATATGGCCTGAAGTCAGGGACTGTAATGCCCCCAGCTTTGTTCTTCTTTCTCAGGATTGCTTCAGCTAACTAGGGTCTTTTGTGGTTCCATACAAATTTTAGAATTCTTTTTTTCTAGCACTGAAAAATGCTGTTGATATTTTGATAGAGAGTACATTGAATATGCAAATGGCTTTGGGCAAGAAGACCATTTTGATATGAACTGTTCCTATACATGAGCATGGGATAGATTTCCACTTACTTGTGTCTTCTTTAATTTCTCTTACGAGTGTCTTACACTTTTAAGAGTATATGTATTTCACTTCCTTGGTTAGGTTTATTCCTAGGTATTTTATTCTTTTTGATGCAATTATAAATGTAATTGTTTTCCTGATTTTTCTTTCTGCTATTTTGTTGTTAGTTGATAGGAATGCAACAGATTTCTGTTTATTAATTTTGCATCCCTCAGCTTCACTGAATCCAGTTATTAGTTCTGATAGTGTTTTGGGGTATGTTTAGGATTTTCAATGAATAGTATCATGTCACCTGATTGGTTTAAAGATAGCAGAATGAAAAATGAGACAGAAACCTCCTCCGAAAACCACATATATGAAAATGTAGCAAATACAACTAATCCTGAAAGAGCAACAGAAAAGAAGGCTGCAACAGACTGACTACATCTGGGGAAAAGAGCAGACTTCACAGAAAAGGGTAAAGTAGCAAAGCCACGAACCGGCGGGACCAAAGCCTTTTCCCCACCCCAGCTAACTGGCAGGCGGAAGAGAAATGGAGCTGAGAGGGGGTGGAGGCTTAAGACTTCTGAATACGCAGCACTGGAAATCTGCTGGGGAGCACAAACCTACATTATATGGTGCTCTGAAGATTAGTGGGGTTGGAGAGCTAAGACAGGCAGAATACTCGGAAATCTGAGATTCAGCTGCTTGTAGAGAACAGATATCCATAACTGGTCACTCTTAGACAAAAGAAAGACGGGCACTCTGAGAGACCTCACAACAGCGAGAGGGCTGCTAAATGGGCAAGGACTATACACAGCTTCCTGCTCAAGAGAAAAGGACAGGTGGACAAAATTATCCTGGTGCACTCAGCTCAGCAGGTTGGGAACTTTCAGAGCTTCAGGTGCTCCAACCCCTGGCTGGTAAGGCAGCCCCAAGGACTCCCACCATGATAAGCAGCCTGCCACTTCTTCCTCCCTGCCAGCACATGCATGCAAACCCATTGCCTCCACCATTGCAACAGGCCAGCCATAGGGTGGCTCTACCTATGGCAGCTACAAGGGTGTAGCATAGAGGTACCTCCCTGCATGCTCGGCCCAATGGTCCTGGCAGTGGATGTGGAGACTACAGCCAGGAAGCAGGAAAGAGCCATTTCCTCCTGGCAGGCACCATCATGGGTCACTTGTGACCCTCACCATTGCTCCAGGGGCAGAGCAGCTACAGAAAGTAGAGCTTCTGGGCAATGGAGGGTGCAGCCTACACCAAGTTACTATTACAAATACGAAACGTCAAAAGAACCTGGTACAAACCAAAATGAGACAAACACCAAAAAGAGGCCCCGGTGAAACTAAAATCACATATCTTCCTGAAAGAGATTTTAAAATAAAAATCATAAACATGCTCATGGAGCTACAAAAACTTTTCAAGACCTCCAGGGGACTTCAAGAAAGAGATAGAAACTTTGAAAAATACAGTATCCAAAATGAAACACACAATGGAGGGATTTAAAAGAAGATTAGATGAAGTACAGGAGATGGTAAATGAAATACATATTATAAAACAAGAATACAAAGAAGCTGAGAAACAGAGATAAAAATGAATCTCTAAGAATGAAAAATATTGAGAGAACTGTGTGATCAATCCAAATGGAACAATATTTGCAGTACAGGTGTACCAGAAGAAGAGGAGAGAGAAAAAGGAAAAGTACCCTTGAGGAGGTAATTGCTGAAAAATTCCCCAATCTGGGGAAGGAGATAGTCTCTCTGGCCATGGAGGTACACAAATCTACCAACATAAAGGACCCAAGGAAGACAAGACCAAGATATATAATAATTAAAATGGCAAAGATCAAGGATAAGGACAGACTTTTAAAAGCATCCAGAGAGAGAAAAAGATCACATACAAATGACAAACAAATCAGGCTATCAGACTTCACAGCAGAAATCTTACAGGCCAGGAGAGAGTGGCATGATACATTTAATGCAATGAAGCACAGGAGCCTCAAACCAGAATACACTACCAGGGAAGATTTATCATTTAAATTTGAAGGAGGGATTAAACAATTTCCAGATAAGCAAAAGCTGAGATAATTTACCTCCCACAAACTATCTCCTCAGTGTATTTTGGAGGGACTGCTATAGGTGGAAGTGTTCCCAAGGCTAAATAACTGTCACCAGAGAAAATAAAACCACAGTAAAGGAAGTAGACCAATTAATTACTGAGCAAATGCAAAATTAAGTCAACTACCCCCAAAGTTAGTCAAGGGATACACAAAGAGTATAAGATACCTAGCATATAAATAATAGAGGAGGAAGAAAAAGAAAGATTAAGAAAAGAACCTTTAGATTGTGTTTGTAATAGTGTACTAAGTGAGTTAAGTTAGACTGTTAGATAGTAAGGGAGCTACCCTTGAACTTTTGGTAACCATGAATCTGAAGACTGCAATGGTAATAAGTAAATATCTATTGATAGTCACCTTAAGAGTAAATGGACAGAATGGACCAAACAAATGACAGAATTACTGAATGGAAATAAAAACAAGACCATGCATATGCTGCCTATAAGACACTCAATTCAAACCCAAAGACATACACAGACTAGAAGTGAAGGGATGCAAAAAGATATTTCATGCAACTAATAGGGAGAAAAAAGCAGTAGTTGCCATATTTGTAACATACAAAAGAGACTTCAAAACAAAGAAAGTAATAAGAGACAAAGAAGGACATTAC